TGTGAAATATATAAGTACAATGAATTAAAAGCTTGTGTTATATCTACACCGTTTATTACTTATACTTGAAAAGAAAGTAAACCAGAAATCAGTGCAATTTCCATGAATCGAAATAAGAACACCAAGACTGATAAGAATGAACATCCAAAATACGATGACTTTAGTCGAAAATACACTCATTTATATATTGATTATATACTCATTTCAATTATTAATTAGAAAAGAAGTCACATATATGAAAAATGATCAGAGTAATAACCAGTCATACGGAACATGGTTCATATTAAATTAATATAATGAATATTATATCTTGAATAAAATATCACATTAGAAATAAAACAAATATTGAGATGGTGGAGAAGATTTGTAGCTCAGGTGGATGATTTTGGTGGAGTTTTGTTCTCTGAGCTGGATGGTTTGGTCGTGGAGCTTTCATCGTCCTTCTGAACGACGTCATCAGCACAAAACCCCACCAAAAACAAATATTCCATTGGGTAATTAACATATTGAATTAAAAACCGGAGTAATATTGAAGAAGAATTACAGTGAGTAGAAGAATGTAATTTTACAATTTAATCCTATTATATCAACTTCATTTGTGTTGAACTCTTCAAATACCGTCGTATTCAACTCTCTAATACTAACATCAATGCATGTATGAGTTAATGATATCATTACAGAGCTTCGATGTATTGTGATTAAAATACTGTTTCAGAATAATATAAATGTTAACTAGATATCCCAACAATGAGCAAATTAATATGCTCATGATGAATCAATATACAAAATATATGGAAAGCTTACACGCAAAGCAGTTTTAACGAAACAATGTAATGTATAAAAGGATTAATAATTACTTACGAAAGTCGATTACTAGAGATGCTTTCTGAACTTAATTTTTATAATTTCACGTCTACTACAAGATCAATAAACATTAGACAGACTTTTCATGATACCCTGAGACACACTTTTATTATGTGACCATGAATAATGAGGTATTTTAATGCAAGGAATAAAACTGACATATAAACAATTGAACTCCTTAATATTCAAAAGATATCGTGTTTGTTGAACAAATATGTCTTTATTTTAAAAAAACATTTTGATTTTAACAGTTTATGAAAGAATGTTTTTAAGGAAACTTTAAGAGGATGAGTCTAATCTAATCAGTGATGATCCATTTTTTTAGTACAGGTAATGATCGAATGAACAGGATCATTCGAAACACAGCCAGGGAATTCAATGATCATTACGATTAACAATGACAAATGTAATTGAAATAGTAAACTTTACAAAAACAAAATCCCAACTTCAACATTTACCTTCCATATTCATCTTAGATTGGATTATCTATCGACAGTAAATAAATTTGGAGAGAAGGGTTTATAATTATGAAAACAATTCTCTATCTAATAGTTTACTTATTCATTCAATTTCTGCCAGTTTATGTCTATTTAACTGATAAATGGCCATGCACAGGAACACGATGTCAACAATTCGATGTGTTCAGTATCCTGAATAAAATGTAGAAAACAAACTAACTTTTACTCGTCATTACTAATGATGTTACCAATAATTATTATTAATTTAAGTAGTATGATACTTTGGTTCGTTACATTTGATATTAATTATCGGTAAACAATCACCAAGTATTAGTAAGCTGTAGGCTTCAAGTTGTATGCTTTATGCTTATTAGCAGTCATTAATGTTTTGTTCCTAAACTTCCAAATTACTGAATGGTTTATCAAATACTTCATCAGTGATGCTATAGTCAGACTTATCATAAATAAAATGCGGATATTATGATATAATGAAGTAAATATCTGTTGTCAATGTTCTGAAAGACGGAAATCCATCCAGTAGACCAAATACGAACATATATACTTATATTTCAAAATATATTGGTCGGATGGATACATATTCACCATGCATGATAATGTTACTCATGGCAGCATTCATTGCATTTTATATTCAGGAACATAATACATCTGATCGAACATTTAAAAGATGGCAGACAAACATTAAAATTGCAAACAAACTACTTTCGTATTGCACAGACTCCCTATAAATGACAAATGAGTTCATTGTTAGGCCGTTGGTGGAAACCTTCGAAAAATATACGACGTGATTCCCTTCACTCACTGAAAAAAAACATGTGCTTTTAGTACCATATTTTTTTAAAAACTGCAATCCACCCTATTTATCACCTATGGTTTAGCATTGAAAAGTAATCAGTTGGCTGTAGAGTTGCCAACTACTAACATTATGGGGAAACTTGACAAATGAAGTAAACTTAGGCCTACCGGGGAATGTGAGTTTCCTCAAAGTAATATGTCGTAATCAGCATAATTCAGATCACTGACGCAGCATTTTTATTTCAACATTTTATATCAAAAGAATTGTTGAGGGTCAATTGTGAAAACCAAGTTATCACCAAAATGTTCATAGTTCGGCTACGTATCGTCATCGTTTCACATTTCAGGTATATTTCTATTATAAATAGAGACTTAATCGCTATATCTTTAAATTTCCCTCTGTTCTTACGTCAAATGGGAACCTAGGTTACGATATCAATTGTTAATGATCCGAATATAGATATGAAATTAAAAGATGATGTGTTGATCTAGAATTGATTCATACTACATTCCCAATTTACATTAAAATGTACAATATTTTCAAATCATTAAACAAGCTAAATGACTTTTATGTACTTTCTTAAGTTGTAAATATTGATTCATAATAACAATCACAACATAATATCTGTAATAATTTAGTAAGTAATTTTATGAATCAATAACAGTAACACTAAATGTACTTTCATCGGTATTTTATTCGGGTATGATCTAGTTATTTCGTTTCATAGAATATAATACGACAATAACACATAACCAAATAATTTAAAAAAAAAAGATTGGGTATACAGTAATGATACTAATTATTATTATTATATTGTTTGTAACGTATACATTAATAGCAATATTTGGTATTATGATTATATATTATAACTAAAATTCTATGTCTACAATGAACTAAATAAGTAAATTAATAAGAAAGGAAATCATACTACTTAAATAATAAAGAGATAATATGAGAGAAAAATATGGATAGAAAAATGAAATAAGCAATGAAAGAATAGATTAGAAGTTGAGAAAATGTTCTTACATATAAATAAATTATCATATCTAAATATTAAACAAATACAATTAACATTTAAAAAATTCTGGAAATTGTATATCTAATATAGAAATCTTTTTATAAATAGTTTTTTTCCATGATGAATTAACATCACGTTCATTTAAAATTGCATCAGCGAATTCCCATACTGTAATTTGAATAGCTTCAAGAAATTCTTTCGGAGTCTGTAACAATAATAATAATAATAATAGATATTACTTCAATTAATGTTATTTAGTTGTTCCTTAGTTTATCAATGTAACAATGAATTTAATGGCCAAGCGAACAAAAGTACATCTTGTACACTTAAAAAGATATGATTCATAAATGAATGGGAATGTATCATTTCATTTTACAAATAATTACATATGCTCACTAGTGATCAGCTCAGTTAGAGAATTCTCGGACTTCTAGTGAGAAGCCGTGACCAATGGAGCTAATCTGTGTCACGTAGAGACAGACATCTATCTTAGTACAATCAAAGATGGTCCCTCAAGTTCGTAGATTGGTTGAGGTTACATATTAACACTGTTGGATGCCGGCCAGCTCAGTGGTGTAGGCCCTTGGTTCGAATCTCGTGAACAGAGTCGTGGATACACACTGCTGAGGAGTCCCATACTAGGACAAAACGGCCATCCAGGGCCTCCAGGTTTGTAATGGTGGTCTAACATCAATCGATTCATGGTCTCAATCAAAAACTTAATAACCTTCACGATCCCATACTGATAATTATAGTACTTATATTAGACATTGTTACACAAACGAAATAGCTCTTTAATGTTTGACTAAATTCAATTTTTAGATGGCATGCTTCAGTAAATTAATTGTTTACAAAACTATGAGGATAGGGTATTATAATCTATAGTACAAGATTGCATTAGCAGTTAGTATCATATTATACTTTAAATTACAAAAACGTAAAACGATTTTAAAACTTACTTCAATTTCGTCACCTTTATTAAAATGTGTTTCCATGCTACGTATTAATTCATGTTCACGAGATAGTCTAATATCATCTGCTTTCTTTAAACCGGTTGCTTTTTGTTGACGAACAAATTTTTCTATCTGTATGTAAAAAAACTCTCTACACACAAAATAATGAGGAAAAGGGGAGATAGATTAAAGATTTCGATGAATAAATCATCATTTGGTTAATTTACAAGGTATAGTACATCATACTGATAAATATGTATTAAAGTAGTCCTATAGAAAATCTTAGACATCATTATGCTTGGTGACATAAAGCTGGTGAAATGTCCATCTTCTCCAGTTAGAAATATGTTTACTAACTTAAACTATACACTTTTCAAATTGAAAAGAAACCATAGGGCGTAGTGTATTAACAAAGGAATGTTCATTTTCTAAAAAATTTACTTACTAAGCGAAAATGATGAATTTTGGTGTGTTTTCTAGTTGAGTTGCATTGCACGCAAATATTGTGGTATAAAAACTCATATTATCTACTATAGGCATGTTAATTCCTCCAAATTCCTATTACATATAATTATAAAAAAATAAAACGTATCTTTATACATATAACACATACAGAATTAATAGTTAACATCTACACAGCTAACAAAATAGCGTACACAAAGAGCCACATACGAAAGCAAAATATGAACAAGACATTTATACATGCAACTTGAGGAACGATTAAATCTCACCCACTTTGTGCAGACCGATTCGACCATGTTCTTTCCTCTTTTTCTCCATCCTCCAACTGATGTTAGAGAACAGTGAATTCGATTATATGAACATTGTACAATCGGAGGTGTTGTGCATTCATGTACAGATATTTATGATTAAGATATTTTTTGTATAAAAGCTTACCGGAAATTACTAAACCATTTTACCAATTGTGCAGTAGATCCACGATTAAAACAAACTTTTGGAAAATATGACTTCAATAGACTTGATGTTGGATAACGAGAATACATGAACATCATTTTAGCTTTTTTCAAATGAGCTGCACTCAATGTTGCTGTCTAAAGAAGTAAACAAAAGAATATATTTATCGTATTTGCTTTATTCGATTTAAATGAAACAAGAATAATGAAGTCTTTTAGTTTCATCGACTTAAATGGCATGTATGTAACTAAAATAAGATTCGTTGAGTTACGAGAAATTAATAGTATTCTGGAAACCTTGTTCTTCTTAATATCTTAGAAATCTATAAATATTTACTATGTATCTGAAATGATCTAAAATGTGTTTCACCTATTCGATATTCAGTTTGCTTTGTGAATCTTCTACAAGCTACCGAAATCTCAATAAATACATACATAACTATCCGATTATTTCACTATAAAGCCTGAAAGTCTTGGTTTCTATCCTTGACAGGATTGTGAATGTACAGAACTGGTAAATATCAAACTAGGACGAAAAATCTGCCAAGTCCTTCCAAGTTCCTAATAACTTTTTAGTTTATAATGTAGACTATAAAATAAAAAATTATATATATAAATCCTGACATAAATGAGAAGCCTCAAATTAATTCGTTTTATTATTACTCACTTCAATAGTAAATCAGTATTTTTCATCAACTTACTTTAGTTTGACTATTAATTATTGATTTTTTCAAACCTGTTTGAGAACAATCACTTGAATGATTATCTAATGAAATAATTTGATCTGTTTTGTTATTATCATTATTATCATCATGATCATTTTGATGAATTCTTAAATCTAATGGTTCATCTAAATGAGGAATTTTATTTTGAAATTCTTCTATATCATTATTTAACCGACGTTTATTACAACTTGGTGATAATTTATTTAATTTTCTTGTTTGATTTCTATCAACAAATAATTGACTATTAAATTGATGAATTCTTAATCGACGTGTTTTATTATTATTATTAGTAGTAGTATAACGTAATGATTTTATTCTTGTTGAATAAGTGGATGATTCTTTTGATGTTATGATTGTACACTTTGAATTAGCAGATTCTTGTTCAGATGATACAATATCATTAGGAATAAACTCTACTTCACTTGATTGATTCTGATTAGATTGCTTATTGTTAACATTTTCCAATTCTATATCATTATTATTTTTTGTAAATTTTAAATTAAGTGGTGTCACATTACAATCTTGTATACCATCAAATTGTACAGATTTCATTGAATTACAATAATTTAATATGGTTGATGAATTATACCAATCTTTATAATGATAATTTTGTAAATATGTTTCTAATTGATGCATACTATTATCAATAAGTCGAATCATTTCACGACGAACTTGATTCAGAATTTGATTACATATTTGATTACGACTTTCAATTGATTGATCAGTATCTATATTATTATCATTTTTAATAGTTTTATTAATCTTTTCAAATGGTTTTGAATAATTCAATTGATCATTGAAAGATTGTTTATTATTTTGATATTGTAAATTGTTTATATTAATTGAAGATAATAATTTTGTACAATTTAAATCTTGTTGACTTAAATTAATACATTCATTATTTTGATTAATCATAGATGGATAATTATAATTTCCATATTTTATATTAGATTGTAATAATGAATGATATTTATCATTCAATTCTTTATAATATGATAATTGTGATTTATCATTCACTTCATTTATTCCTAAATTATTTCTATTATGTAAATGTCTATGACAAGAATAATTTGGAATTAGACGAGCTTGATTTAACAATTCCAATGCAACAATTTCTAGTTTTTCTTTTTGATTAATAGAATTATGAATACATTCAACAGATCCATAATCTTTATATTGATTTATTGATTCAGATGTCGGTAAATTATTTGAGAAACCAGTTGGAGTTGAACCAGATCCAACTGATGAATATCCTTCATCTGATAATGGTATATAAAGAGGTGTTGTTTTTTCATTGGTTAATATATCTTTATATCCTGTAAAACCTGATAACATTGAATGAAGTACTGGATAAGGATTAGATTGAGATAATGGTGTAGAATGAATGTATTTTCCTTCCAAACCATTAAATTTGGGTTTTAGATATTCAGGAGTTTGAAAATTTCTTTCATCTTCTGAATAACTTTCCATCTTAATCCTTTTCTATTAAATGTTTCTAAAAACAAAACAAAAAATACGGGAATGCATTCATTGTAATTATAATTATTCTTTATATTGTTTTAAATACATAATCAACAAATGCATTAATGAACTGCTCTATATGTTATTCGAAAATATCTAGAAATGAGTTGTTTAAATTTCTACTATTACAAAATTAATCATGATGAAATCTTAACCTCCCAATAAAGAACTATTTACAAGGGATAATGAATTAAAAATGATTGTATATTTCAAGAAATTGGCCCATAGTACAGTATACAAATCATCTGGCCGAATAATGATATATGCCCCACTATTAGTTACAGATTTTCATATCAGTTGGTTCTTCCAAGTTTATATGGAGCCAAGTTTGGAATGATACTCTATTAGTTAAGTGTCAACAGTTTAAATCATTAAAAGATGATTTATAATGAAATGTCTGAATTACGATTAAAAAAACTTACATTCTAAAATAACATGTTTCCTCTTATCATTTGTGAGAAAGTTTCCACTTGGCTCACAATGAACTTAAGATTACTATTTATAGAATCTTTGGATTATCCAACCTATCATCAATCTAATCTATTTCAAATGAATTACAAGTAAATAGAAATACTATGTAGGCATTTCCTTATTATTATATATATATGATAGATTGCATTAACTAAAATATATGGCTACTAGATTAATTTAGTGAGAGTAAAAGAAATTACTCCGGTATCACTTAATTAGTTCAAAAGTGCGGTTTTATTAAATGAATTAAAAATTCACTCATCTCATTAACATACTTATAACTAAGAGTATCGATGGATTTTAAGTAGTTTCATTAGCACTAATGTTCTCGAATAACTTTTTTCTATACTATTTAATCAATGACGATATTCATTAAATTTTCCCTATAATCATTTCATCTTCCTCCCTCTCTCTCTAGAGAAAAAAATGTAAAATAATAACTAAGTCAAAAAGTCCAGGAAAAAAAAAGTGAAAGCACCCAGTTCCTATCATTAGGCACACAGATATACCCATCACTGTCAAAAAAAATATTTAGTAACAGAATAATGACCATATGAAACAGTACAAAACCTTACTGCTCATAGCATCTTACTTCTACTATACTATCCAGATTTCTGCCGGTGCTATAAATCACAAGTACTATACTTCGGAACCATTTAAAATTGAAATACCATCTAACTGAGCATAGATTGTGTGCTCGGTTACCATGAATTTTAACATGGAAATTGGCATATTGCTAAAATACAACTTACAATCCAATAACTTATACTACATGAAATCATACATAACATACAAATAACATTTATCGGTTTTTCTTTTTGAAAAATCAATATTAATCAGATAAAAATCAATAGTCTGGAGTTACAGAAAAAAATGCTTTTACTTAATTGAAAGTTTATACCCTATGGATCAACCTAGAACCTTCGTCATAGAAATTTAATACTAAATAGTAATGGGAAAGCAAAAGTCATAATGAATTAACCAAAACATTTATATAAATATATAACTTACTTGAAAAGTTGAATTTGACAAGTTGTTTGGTTAAATTAGCTATTTAACACTTGGTGATCTGTTTGTTATTGAATCACCTATATATATAATAGTTTAATAGTTTGAAAACAAAGTAGTATTGAAAGTGGATATAAACTTTCGAACACTGAGCTTTTTCTAAAAAAGAAAAGGTAAATATTCACTATATTTAAGCCTATTTATACATTTTCCTGCTCATCTCTTTCAACTGGTTTCATCCTCTCCCATATGAATCTACCAATCCCATAAGAAGATTAAATTGACACGAGTACACATCTTACTTTATTTATTCAAATTTTAGTTGCTGGGGTTTATGAAACACTGGTACACTAATAATTACTATTATTATTATTATTATTATGAAATTAAGAGTAGACAAAAATACTCTGACTTTTATGTTTCATTCATAATTCATGCCCAATTTCTTATTCTGCTTTAAGTGAAGATGCTGGTTCACTAGCTAGCTTTCCTTTAATCACTACATTTTTTTCAAATTTTCTCCTCATCCTATGTATAAAACTTTCATTAATCAGGGAATAGATTAGCTACATGTTGTTTTTTTCCCTCACCCTACTTCCTCATTTTTAATCTTCTAACACCATTCATTTGTTTGTAACCCAATAAATACATATATATAGTTCCTCTCTCGTTTATACCCCCCTCCTAAAATATTTATATGCATATAACTAAAGGATTGAACTTTGTAACCACGTACATCTGACCTGTAAATAAAAACAAATATCATATGATCAAGATTATGCTGAAAAATCAGAAAGATGAGACGTTATAAACAATTTTGACAAAAGGCAACCCCTTCCATTTTCTCTCCAAGCATGCATGCGAATATATATAATCCATTCATACCCACTCTTTACTTTATTAAACCTCTTAGACAGTTAAATAATGTTATGAAAAGGGTGCCCTGGTATCATCTTCAAAAAGAAAAGGGGAATTATGAAAAGGAAAAAATTAGCAAACAAACTAATTATATGCTGGTGCCACGTTCTCTTTTCTCTATAAAAATAAAGTCAAATATGACAGTAAAATAGTAATAGCAACATCAAGAACTATTATATTGATACTAATAGCAGGTTAAACAATACATAAATTAACCTAGGGCTAAACTATAAGAATTAATGAAGGGGATTAACTATTGGGAAGAAACTTACCATTACTAACAGGGTATCCTTCGCCTCAATATTTCTTGGAACTTTTACTGCTCATTCAAGTAGGAAATACGCTTTCAAGCCCAATCACTTCTATACATATCTGTAAATTTAATTACCACCGTGAACTAGAGACTAGTCAAATTCACTAACGAAATTCCGAGTATTTCCAAGATGACTAGGCATTAAATCTAACAAATCCAGAAAAAAATGTATTCTTTCATTTAGGGTATAGGAAGCATTAGATAAAAAAAGATCAGTATTGATTAACATTTGATTGCAGTCATTGAAGTCTTTGAGGTTAAGATATTTTGTTTACTAGTCATATGATAATTAAAAATAAACATAATCCAATATCAGTACGTGGTTGTGGAGAATATCGAGATTTTGATTGAGACCATGAATCGATTGATGTTAGACCACCGTTGAAAACCTGAAAACATTGGGCGGCCGTTTCATACTATTGTGGGAGTCCTCAGTAGTGCATGTCCACGATCTCTTTCACGTGATTTGAACACAGGACCTTCGAACTTTCGCAAACACTTAACGTCCGTATATGTCGAACGCTCCGTAAGATATATGATCACTAAACTATTATAAGAGGTTAAATTAACTGTAGAACTTAGCATAGAGCTGTTACCTCTAATCACAAGAAGATTCGGTAAAGACAGCAATGTCAATTGACTTCTGCAAAAATATAGGCGCTAAATACATTGGAAAGCGGGAGTTCCCCACAAACATATTATCTTAGGTAATTTGCTGTGATAAATTACTCTGTAGATTAACATTACCTGTTTTACCATTTTCTGGGTTTAAAAGATAATTAGTAGTGTAATCCATAAATATTGTTAAAAATGTAAATAAAATCCAAAACAAAATCGATTGACTGCTGAAGAATATAATTTTGATGGTGGATAATTTATCGCTCCTGTTATAATTAAAAATATACATAGGTAACTATTCATTTCCTAACCTAAATATCACACTACTGAAAAGTATTCTTAAAACGAACTCATAGCATAACAGTAACTTTGCTTATGAAGTAATTAGTAAATTGATTGATTGTAATCAACTTGTGTATTTATAAAAAATTGCCGTTTTCATCGTCTGCTAATGTACTTATCTATTTAGTACAATACATATCAATTAAAGATATTTAAGTACACTATTTTGTTCGATTAATCAGGAAAACAAAGGAAAGACTACAACTCTATTCTCTAAAGTTTTGTTACCTTTGAACATCTTAACACTTGAATATTGAAAATATTCTAAAACGTTCGAAAATGTCATTGAAGTCATCTTTGTATGGCTAAATCGTAGGATATTCATGATCATAACACATATTCTCTGAATACAATTCTGATTAATTTAAGAATAATTCATTTAGTAAACTAGTTCTAACTGGAAAAAATTAGCAAGTAGGAATCGTGCGATAGTTTTTCCCATCTCTGCATTAAATGAAATTGCGGTCAAGGGTCTAACTCAATAAATTACAAGTTCAAATAGTTCTATGATTTCTTTTTCTGTGTATGTAGTTATTATTCCTAAACTTCACATAATGCATATCACTTTGGACCTAATACATGAACATAAATTTGGTTTTGAAGTAATGTTTACCATATTTAGACTTTTATTAAGTTATCAGCACTGCAGATTTATACACTAACTATTGGATGGGACAAGTTAAGAGGCTAGCCAGCTACTCATGAACAACTAGACAAAATTTCAATGATCGCAATATGAAACCTAAATCAGGTCTTTAATACATAAAGTTATCTTTTAATACTGTATTGAATTGCTTGAACTGACACTTAGTTGGTCTCGGAAATTAAAACAGTCTTTACAACTATATTTAATATGAAGCGAAATTTCATTTGAAAAGTTATTCAAATACTAAGCTCATGTCAATCGAACAATCGGAGAAAACCACAAATTTGTGATACAACGGATCTTCTTATATAAATCTTAAAATGTTAGCTATGTAGGATTGTTCATATTACAAGCCTTATTTGATGAACCAAAGATTATTGACAGTATATAATCAAATTCCATCTGATCCCTACATCATTTATGTAACTATCACAGTAACCAATTTTCGAAATGCGTATGTCTTCGTCATCATAAATCTTTGAAAATTCAATTAAAACTTATAGGTATTTAAAGAATTATTGTTTATTGTTACTACCTGACTATTATCAATCTTATCTTTGATTTTCTGAGAGCTCTTACCTGACCTTTGATCCCTAATCTATGGATATAAATATATCAGTTCATTTCATTATT